CTCTGGATCAACGGACCGCTGGCAAAGGTGAACAACGCCATCAGGGCGAACAGGGCGAAGAAGGTGTACTGGAATTTCAGGATTATGAGAAGTACGACCGTGCATTTTGGTAATTTAGTGGTAAGCTAAACCTTAGCTGCTACCGCTGGAACTTCGAAATCTACTGCTGAAAACCCTAGCGACGCGCAAAAATTTCAATTTTGGATTCGAGACGTAAAATTCCGACTTTTTTTTGCTCTACCTGCCTACCATGGTCAGGTTGCAATCGCTATCACACCACCCTTTTGTCACAACATCCAGCGTAGCGGCCTTTTCATGTTGAGCAGAGCACGAGCACCCGGACCAGAACAGCTTCTTCTAAAGACAAATAAATATTCCATTGAGCCACAACGCACAGTTCCATTAAATCCGAGTTTCGCTTCTTGGTGGCAACCAGCATGACAGGGGGATAGATAGGTGATCTGGCTCTTTTCGTGGCACACCGGGTTGAACATCATGCGGCTGCATTGGCAGTTTTCGCCGCTAGGGCCATTGCAGGTTCCCTCAGCTTTGTTAAAGCCTTCGTTGGCTTCGGTCCAAAGTCTTTCGCCGGATTTGTAGCTAAAAAGGAAATAAAAATTTGTCTATTTTCGGGTTCTGTTTCTCTCTCTCTCTCTCTCTCTCTCTCTCTCTCAAACTTACGGTGTATTCAATCCTGCAATCTCTTTCTTCGGACAGCTCAACAATAGTGAAGCCGAGCATAACACATTCAACAGCATAAAAATGAGGCACCATTTTAGCAATCCACTAAAGATATCATCCTCTTCTTTTAGGGTTTATCCACTTACGGCACTTTATTCTTCACCCGCTCACCGATTTTACCGCCCAGGTAATTGCCGATCACACCCATTGGGACAATGATAAGACCTAAACACGTGTATTCAGGAAGTCGTTGTGGTTTTTATCTACCTGTAGCCATGGAAGAACCTCCAGATGTGAGGCCAAATAGATTTTCGAGCAATTTTGGGATGTATGTGATATAGCCGTTCATTAACAGCGATTCCATCGTTTGCATGGCGATGATGCACATACAAGTTGGATTGAGGGTGAAGAGCTGGAAATGGAAAACGATAGTTTACAGGTTGCCTGAGTTTAAAGGGGCTGGTAGATGCTAGAATCAACCTCGCTCTTAACTAGCCATCGACAGATATGTACCTACGTTAGTCAGTTATAGTACGTTAAAAATAATGATTTTTCACAGCCTATGCTCGGATTTCACAAAACAAATTCGCAAGTTTGGTCAGCTAGTTCCAAGTGTTGATATCTAATAATAGTAGGCGTCGATTTTGACGCTTCACTATCCATTAAAAACGATTCACTCTTTTGACATACCTTAAACATCCTCAACAGCTCCCACTTGTCCCCAGACAAATCGACGTTGAGGTCAGCGTGAGGTTGTAGCTTGTCGTTGGCCTTCCGTCTGTCGGTATCTGGAATTTCCACTTTCTCTGGCATCATCAATGTCTCACCATTAAGCTTTTTCGGGAAGAACGTCAGTGGAATTGCTGTGAAAAAGCTCAAAACTCCCAGCACTGCAAATGCTATCCACCAAGCGCCGTACCACCTTGGGTCTGAGGAGTCGTCAATACCGAAACTATAAAGAGGACCTTGAGAGAGAGAGAGAGAGAGAGAGAGAGAGAGAGGAGCGATAGCCAAATGCTTACTCCGTACTCTTCGTCCTCCCGACATCGCCCCAGATCTTCAAAAGTTGCGAGCCGATCGGGAAGGCCATAGCCGGCCCGAGGGTACAGACACCGAGGTAATATGCTAAAAACGTAGCGCTTAAGCCGTGATATAGGTATCGTTTACCCATATTCACTCCAGTTCTCGTTGTTGAGTCAAATTCGTCGATCGTCGAGTATCCGTAGGTAAAAAGTGGGCTTGCACCAAAACCGATCAAGAGTTGGCCGATCAATAATAGAGGGAAGGCACTAAATTTAACGTGTATTACGCGTTAATCTAGCGTTAAATACCTAAATATTTACCAGCTTTCTACGTCTAGCTCAAAAATCTACTCAGTAACTCACAAGTCTTGGCTCTCCTCTGGTGGACAAACAGCTTTTGGGTCGGCCAGCGCTCCACATGTTTCGCCACTTAAAAACAGTTATATAAACTTTAAATTACATAGAAAGGTACGAAAACTATAAAAATTTTGATACGTTACGTTTTGCTCCCAGGTCGATAGATGCCACTGGTAAATTGTGGAATTACCAGGAGCAAAGTGCCGAAGCCAACCATCATCATTCCCCAGCCCATCGTTCGAACTTTGTTAACTGAAATATCGATGGAATTTGGATAAAAATTGCTTTTATACCTTTATTCGCAAGCCACGAAAGTGGCAACAACGTCAAACCCACGGCTACATCGTAGCTTCCAGCAAATATACTGGATTGCTTTGAGGATAGGGAGAATCTAAAAAACACGTTGATTGAAAGAGCAGGTATATCTAAATATGGCTAAAATTTAAAAGCAATGATAGATAGAAATATACTAATTATAAAGACGTACCTTCTTTCCAAAGATTGTATAGAAATGGAGATAAATCCGTTAACGAGCATTCCTTGTACGAGGGCATTCATACAGACGATTGTCATAAAAACAGGAAAAACAGCGAATTTGTGTAGCCATGGTGGGGAGTATCTGAAAGGGCTTTCTTAAAAAGATATAAACAGAAGCTTGTTTCTCCCTCTCATTCTCTCGCTTTCCCTCGCTCTCTCTCTCTCTCGCTCTCTCTTTTTTCTCCCTCATGAAACCTTACCCAAATATACTACATTTATATTCTGGCTCTTTGGCTGCCACCGCCTCGACCGGTTTCTCTTTTACCCGTGACATCTAAAAATAAGTTTAAAAAGTTAAAAATCAAGCTAAAAACTTCAAAACCAAAAAACCTAAGCACGACAAAAATGAAATGAAATTCCGGAGCAAAGAATGCCTGGGAAAAGCATCAAATACGTCAAACGGTGCAGCAGCAGGAGGCAAATGTTTTTGTTCCCGCGATGAGTCAACCGAGACCAGGGAATTCAGGCCAATTTTGTGATGTCCACCGGGGTGGTGGGGGATTTCAAGGTCATTTTAGTATTTCACTGGGTGTTTTCGGAAACGTCAAATTTGGCAAACCGGATTCTTTAAGGTCGATTCAGGTGTTTTTAAAGACGAATATGACTTTGAAGTCTTGATAAATCAAAATAGTGATATTGAGATCTTGAGAAAATCCTTCAAAAATTTATCAAATTTCTGGATCACCAGGATTTATTAAAATATCCATAAAACTGTCTAAAAATCCAATTTCGGACTTAAATCCGTAAAACAATCGGTGGAAATCGATTCGACTGGTTTTAAAAGTTAAGTTTTCGTGTATTTTGCGGCAAAAAGAGCCGTTTTTAACCGGGAAAGCCATAACGTGCGGAGCTTTTGACCGGAAAGTAGGAGCATGTGAATGGGGGGAAAGTAAAAGGCAGGGAGTAAAAGAGAAAACGATGGGCACCGCGGATCGAGCACGAGCAAGAGAACGGAGGCGGCTTTGTGAAATGACCCAGTTTTGGAACGGGAATGGCCGCCGGGGGCTTTGGTGGGATCAGAAGATGAGTCAATGTGCTGGGAAAAGAAAGGGAGAGATATGCTAAACAAAACAAAAAATAGGTGCTAATCCGCCCGTAGAGCTAGCCAAAATAATCGTATCGTAAGGGAAAATGAGTGGTAGAAATGAAAAATGACTTTGAAAGAAACGACTTCAAAAAACTTGCCTGAATATGAAAGTTAACCTTAGCCGCCTAGAAATGACATTTAAAAGTATAGAAAAAATCTTAAGGGTTTTAATTTCGTTGTTAAGCTGATGGTGAGGCTAGGCAAACCCGCAGAGGTTCTTGGGGGGAAAAGAGTTCTAAAAGGCAGAATAAAAGAGTTACTGTATAATTGGGTTTTAAGATTGATTTCAGGTTTAACAGGCCAAAGTCCTGGCAAGCCAGCAGAGATCTTTTAGGAAATGACGCCTTAAGGCAATCCGCTGAAGTTTTAACACATTTTTAGAAGGTTAAAAAATTTCTATGTAAAATCGATATCATCCGGATTTTTCATGATCATGCACGTTGCGCGTCGCAAGATCAGCAAAATGCATACGAAGATCGATAGCCAACAAAATCCGCAGTCATGCCTTGCCGGTAGCCTTAATAAACGGACGACATAGTTCCTACCTTTTCTAACGGCATACCCGATCCTATGAGCTAGAAATGTATCGAATGGAGCGTCCAAGAACTCGCCACCCATCCAAGAAATTATCAAACCGGGTTGAAACCGATAATGGATCCACCCAGCAGCCTTTTCAAAAAGCACATGGGCTGCTCCATTCGACGCCGGGTGGTTCTTTCATCCGGGGGCAGGCGGTGTGGTGGGATGTGTGTGGGGGAGAGCCAGTTTGTGAGCCTGACTAGCCTAGGGATCCGCAGTCTGCAATATCTCGTTCTGACCTCATATCCAGATATTCTGAAACCTCAGGCGGTGTCAATAGAGTCTTCGATAAAGGATGGCAGAGAAAGCGAGAGAGGGAGAGAAATATAGAGATAGAGGGAGAGAGAGAGAGAGCTAGAGACAACAGAGTTAGAGGGAGGGAGATAGAGTGAGGATAATCAGAAAAACCTGGGTTATAGCTAAGCCAGAGATCGCGGTCTCGAAGATTTTTCGGACTGTTTTAAATCCATGCCGGTCATGCTCATAAATATTTATGAGATTTTCTGCAAAAATGAAGGAACCTGCCAGGTATAAAAAATTCCGTAACAAAATTTATTCCCTTACGAAGCATTTTCTGTTGTTGTAGTGGTAATAGTAGTAGTAGTGGTGGTTGTTGAACTGCTTGAAGTCGCCGTCGTAGCAGTAGAATTCGACGACCCCGGCGAGTCAGTGGTGTCGTTAGGATTGTACGGAACGCATTGAGACACCGACACTAAACAAATATTCTATTCCAATTAGTTTTGTAGCCCTAAAAATCAATCATATAACTTTGAACAAGAAAAACCAGCTTTTTAGGTATAAAAACCTAGTATTACAACTTTAAAAATGAAAGTCGTAAATCAAACTTACCAGCATTCTGATCATAACTCGACTGGGCATCAGTTGTAGTTTGTAGCAAAAACGGCCACCAAACATTCGTCGGCTGACCGTCCCTCACAAAATTGTATGCAGACTGTGGGTAGTAGACAAAATTGTACCACGGCTGCGTTTGGCCGGGTGGGAAGGCTGGGTAATTCATCTGAAGGAGATGATACTAGGTGTACTGAAGGGCTCTGCGAAAACCTGAGCATTCAGCTGCCATCCATTCGGCTGACCCAGAAAGTTCAAGCCGAATCCGATGGATTGTTGCTTTTGGCCGGGCATTCCGATTTGACGCTCTGAAAGCACACGAGGGAGTAGCTGAACGAACCAGTTGAACTTTAAAGACCGTCAGAACGATCAAAATTTCGTTAAAAGCAAGAACTTGTGCACCCGGCGGGGGTCCAACCCGCGATGGTTCGCTCCACAGCCCGACGCGCTAGCCACTATACCACAGTGCCGAGTGGAGAAGGGAGTTAGAGGCGCCCCAAACCCCAGCGGGCCTTTGCCCAGTACGGGGCGCCACTACTGACGCCTCTCTCTGCGCGTTCTTGGGGGCGCACCCTTGGGGTGACAGTGTGCGTCCAAGGGTTCTCGCAGTCATTAAAGGTCTAAAAAGTTAAAATCCCCTACTCATACATAGGACCATTACGCAATATGCGTAGCTCATCAAATCAAAAAAAAAATTACCTACTTTTTCGACCTCCATTACCGTATCCGGAGGGATTCCTCGGAAAATTTATACCGGAATCGTAGCCGTGACTGGATTCATAACTGGGATCTCGAGGTGGAAGCCCTTTCCATTCAGGAATCCCGTTTTTCGAGAAATCGGATTCGGTCTAAAACGAAAGGTCGCTGTCAAGTTCTAAAACACCCAAAAAACTCGTTTCCATCGTACCTGATTCGGGTCAGAAACTTTTCTGTGCTGTATCACACATTTTGGGTTTTGGACGCAAAAACACTCCTGCTCCGCATCACAGGCATTCATTACTGGGACACATTTCTGCAAGTTGTAAAGACTGAAATATCGTATTTCTCTCTCACTCTCTCTCTCTCTCTCTCTCTCTCTCTCTCTCAATCTCTCACTCTCAGGCTCCTTCTCTCACTCTATCTCTGTTTTTCTCTCCCTTACCTGCATACAATAATCAAAAACATATTTTTTCTTGCACTGCTGATAATCTGCCGACCCTCTGATGCAACGCACAAATCGACTAGAAAAATGCTACAAAATCTGCATATTTCTGGTACCTGCAATCCTTGGTATTTGCCTGCACATAGGTCTGGCCATATGCGCAAAAATAGGGTTCTCAAAAATACGTTTGTTTTACGGTTTTTAGATATAACTTTACCATCTCTACATTGCGGCAAAACACCTAGAATTAAGTTCGAGAATAAAATCAGGTATGGCATCATTTTTCAGCCGCCAAATTGACCGTGCCAAAAATCGAATGGCACGCCGCGGGTTTTGCATGCCATTTTGCTCGCCCAACTTTTTCGGTTTTTCCACTCGGGTTATGGGTAATTTCGGGCAGGGGGTACAGGAATGTGGGCTGGAAAACAAAATATACCCAAAATCCTAAAAATTCTAAAAAAAATATACGCTATTTTTCTCTCTAGCAGGTACCTAAAGAAAGGAGAAGAAGCTGTGAAATTTACAACTATTTTACAGCCACCGGCGGGCCGTAATCTTTATGGTCTTTTTAGGTGATATGGAGAATACGGAGCTACACGCGGCCATCCGGTTTCTGCTTAGAAAACGGAGGTACTATTCCGGATTTGGCTAATTTTCTGGGTTTTAGGTCACTAATTCGCTGTTATTAGGCCATCTCGTCGATACCTTTATGTCGATAAACCGCATTATAAAAGACCAAAATGGGTCTATTCTTGTTTCATCTTCGTTTTAAAGGCCTCAAGAAGCAAAATTTGCCACTAAAGATTGGCTGAGCCAAAATTCCGCGTCAGTACTATCCACATGCCAACACTGTGCAATCATGTCCACAATGATTCACAGGAAAATCAACCCGATCACACATGATGGTTTATTCTAGAGCTCAACTTTCAGGCTTTCTCTCAACTTGGAACGATATAAAAATTACCATGGGCATTTATTATATTCAAATGTATTTAGATGGAGCCAAAAATTCACGTTTCACCGGCTCGCTCGTCGTTTTTGGCGGAGCTGGATGAGTTTCGAGTGTCGGGGTTGCAGCCGATGAACATGTACAGGGTTGAATTGACGTAAGGCGAATTAAACCTTATATTTAGGCATTTTCTCGCTTCTTTTAAGAACACAGCAATAAAATTCCAGCCTCGTCCACAGGACGAAATTCATCGCCAATGCCTTATTTATCACGGGGGAAACTGGGGAGATCGATCTGGCCAAACAAGCCCCGCTCTTTGGGTTTTATAAAGGTAGTTTTAAGCAGGCTTTTAGATAGCTCTATCATTGAATTTTAGGCGCCGATAAAATGGGTCTATTCACCGCTCTCTATCAAGATCCTCGAGAGCGGTTTGGCTCAAAACTGAACCTCACTCCCGTGCCGGACAGCTTGACCTACAAGATCTCTGTCCATTTTATGTAATGAAATCTATGGCATTTTGGAGGGTATCTTTTAGGGAAGAGCCTCTAGCTCATGCTGAGGTAGAAATTGAGCGTGTTGTCAAGGCGGAATCCGTGGTTAGGGAAGAATTGGAGCACGAGAAGCTGGAGGGGACTGTTTTCTACCCAAAAGAACATGGTAAGTGATAAAATTACTGTAGTAGTGTCTTTTCAAACTTCAGAACCTTAATATACCTTACACAACCAATTCCAGACTCCAAACTCCGCGCCATCTTGGATCTGTCTGGAGTTGGAGGCCAAAAAGAACATCGAGCAGCATTTCTGGCCGAACAGGGATATTACGTGCTCTCCTTAGCATTGTATGGAAAAAGTGAAAAGCTGCCGACGACGCACGAGACGGTGGAGACGGAGTATATTTTGGTAGGTATCGGAGGGGTCGGCTTGGACGTGTTAAAGGGGCTAGTGCTCGCCAAAATCCACCTCTGCATGTCACAAGGTATCGACAAACCCACGCAATTCTTGTATTAACAGACCCCTTTTCCGTCAAGGTTGCGCAAAATCTATGGGTGTTGAGGCGTATCTTGTAGTAATTTGTCGCTTTCAAGGCCTTAGTAATAGGGTCGGTCGATTCGCGCCTTCTCAGTTCCTTTAAAATACTGACTTTACCGAAAATATCGGCTCTTAACCATCTTTTCAGGCAGCTATCGACTACATCACCAGCTTACCTCAAACCACCGATCAGGTCGTGTTGATCGGCACCTCGCTAGGTGGTACATGGTCTTATCATGCTGCGACCAGATCCGAAAAGGTATCGACACTCGAATTTGTATAATCCCAGCTCGTTGAATTGTTTCGATGGTGCCAGAAAATTGACTTGACGATTTTTGACCCATTAAAACTGATTTTGCTCTAGGTAAAAGCTGCCATCAGCATCAACGGCCAAGGTGGTTATTACTTCGTTTCACAAATCAGAGAAAATGGCAAGAAATTACCCTGGGTGCAGTGAGTTTTTAAACGTTTTATGAAGTCCAGGGTACTTTTCGTTGAAATTTGAACAAAAAACGTAATATATTTGAGTAAACCCGAAATTTATTCGGGCGAAAATGAAATTTTGAGTGCGCGGAGATTGCATGTCGTAATGCGTTTTAAGGCACTCATTCTCTCGATCTCGGTGGTTCACGGCTCAATTTTCATAATCAAAACGCCCAGGATGATCAAAATTCGATGAGGATTACAGAAATAATTTCGGAATTTTTAAATTCAGACGTTTTCACGTCCCAACATTTTTCAGTTTTCTAGTCATTTTTTCAGGCTTACACCAACTGCCTTGAGCCAGGTCGAGATCGAAAACGGCTGCGTTTCCTACGCAAAAATGTATGGTGCCTGCAAAGCCGAGGAAAAGCACCAGATCCCTATCGAGAAGCTGAAGTCACATCAGAATTTGCTCTACATTGTAATTTCCACTTTATAGCGCCTAGACTTTCTGCCGTTTGTTAGGCCAGCGAATGGGACAAAGCCATCCCGGCTGTGCAGCAATTGAATTGGATGGAGGAGCGGATGAAGAAGGCCAAGAAGGAAGCGCAATTTAGGTAAGGGATCTCAAAAATCATAAACCAAGGTTCCAGCCATGACACCGCCAAAAAGGGCTGCCACATGCTGGATGTTCCGTTTATGCCGATTTGCGACGTTACCTACGTGGCCGGTAAGTCGCCACTGCTTTAAACAGTAGCAAATAGGCTAAAAGGATAGCTAAGCTATCGAATCCTCAAAAAGCAAAAAGCGCTTCCCATGCCGGGAATCGAACCCGGGCCGCGTGGGTGAAAACCACGAATCCTAACCACTAGACCACATGGGAGGATGGGAGAGGGCGCGGTGGGTGGTCTCTTATCGGGTAGGCGGATCCCGGGCTGCCAGGAATGAACAATGTGAGGCAAGGCCGGGCCAGCAGTCAGCCTTTGTGACGATTTTTCAAAATTTGTACGATGCAGTTTTTAATATGATATTCCGCAAAATATTAACTCAAGGCTCACTTTGAATTATTATAATATCTGTTGGATATTAATATAATCAAATATATCAGCATAAATTTTTAAAATTCTTTTGATTTAGGCAAATTCCTGCTGTTTGGCGGTGACCCGTACGTGTCCGGGTGTGAACAGCGGCGAATTTGGCCGAAGATTCTTGATTTTATTCGTCAGAATTTCGAAGAAGCACATTAATTAATTTAGGTGTTTAATAAATGTATATCTATCTTTCCGGATTAAAAACCGAGTCATTTCTGGCTGTGTCGAGAGAAGCATGCGTAGCATCGAGAGAAGAGATAAAGGCAGACACGGTATTCTAATTTTTTCGTTTCGATTTTGGGTTATAAATCCAGTATTCAGATTGCAAAAATTATTTTTTTGCGTCATTCTGGGCAATTTGCCTACAATTTCGCATCATTTAACTGATCCCAGACTACCGTACTCCAAGACCTACGCCTCGAGAAGCCAATTTTTTAGCGGTTAGCCCATTTTTTCACCTCTCCTGCGGCACCCCTGGAATTGCCTCTCATTTCCATCGCATCAATTCGCGGAACCCGCCAGGGGCCGCCATTCGACCCCCTTTTATTCGAGGCCCAGGAGGGTCTAGCGCCCCTTTCTGGCCCCTTCTTTCTATGTGTGTGTGCTCGCGGAAACGGGAGATTTATTACTTTCCAATTTGGGCCCGCAATTTTCATTCAGAG